TTTTTATATTTTCTTCTTTATTTAAATTAATGTTTTAAAATGTTATACAATCTAGATTAAACTAAATTATACGCACCTGATCTTAGAGGTACAATGACATTAGCTATTGAATAGGTGTAGTCCCCTCCTCATGACAGGTTTCGAACCCGTCCCTTGTCAAAATGTTAAAAAAAAAAAACTAAATTATACAATGCTAATTATTAAATAACAAATAAATTCCATAATATTAGAAATTTTCTCCCATCCAATCATTTTTATTTTATAGCTCTTTGTTTAGTAGAACTCAAGTAGTGTTGGATTATTATTTTTATTTTATTTAATAAATAAATTTTTTTATTTTTTTATATTTTAAAATAAATAAAAATATTTAAATATTTAATATATTTTTAATAGTTAAAAAAATAAGAATAAATACAAATAGAACTATAAATATGAATTGTGTGGCCTTTCAATCAGTGATTATTTTTGCAACCAAATTTTTAAATATGATAACAATAATTTGTTGATTTGATTAAAAGGATTTAGTTCTTTCTAAATAAAATTTTTAATTTAAATATTGTGAATGAAAAAATAAATATTAAGAAATGTTTGATTTTAAATTAATTCATATTCAATATAATTATTAAATACTAACAAATTAATAAAAAAAACTTTCTAGATATGGTAAAATTTATTAACTTATATTGAGCAATGCTAGGGGCACTGGCCTCCTGCACTCTCCGGCAAACACTTTCTCTTTTATTGGGCCACGTTATTTTGTTTTCCAAGAAGTTGCGCTGAAAGCTTCAAAGAAACCTACGTGGCCCAATGAAAGGGGAAGTGTTGGCTGGAGAGTGCAAAAAGCGAGTGCCCCTAGCACTACTCACTTATATTTATTTGATACTTAAATAATTACTTTTTTTAAAAAAATGGAAAAAAAATGTCACGTGTGCATCACGTGATCAGCAACCTCGTCGCTCCATAAATAGGCAGTGGCGGAGGCAGAGAATTTCAGATTAGGGTTTCTGCGGGCTGCAGTCTTCTTATACTTCAAGTCAATCACTCGATAGTGTTCTTAGGAATTTTGATTTCCTTTCACCCAGATAAAATAATTCTTCAATTAGTAGGGGCTGAGGCAATTGGGGGAGAGCAAGATGTGAATTAGGTTCTCTACAGGGTGCCCTGCCTCTAATTAGCCCTGCACATCAAATTTTTCCTATGGCATCATAGTACGGGTTTTGTGCTTTGCTGTGGGGGTTGTCTGCGAAGTTCGAATCTTTGGTTTTCTCCGCCGGAGTTTCCCCCTTCCGCCGCCTCCCCATCAATCAGCTTCTCCTCACGAACCCGCCTCCAAACGCCATTACATTGTAAATTGCAAATTTGTAAATCAGGAAAAGGGGTTCCCTCTTAGATTTCTGTCGTAGTCATGATTTCGTATTTGTTCAGATCTAATTTGAAAATGGGGTGGGGAAAAGGAAAGTTAAGTAGCGGTAAGATTTTGTAAATTTGAGGAGATGTAAAGGTTTATTTAGTAAATAATGCCCGTCAGCGTTCAGGAAATAAAAATGTTTCAAAAGTCAAGAGAAATTTTTTTCTTTTTCTGATAATAAAGGAAAATGCCATTAAAGCACACAAGATCAAGTTCTGGGGTAGTCAACCCAACAACATCAGCTAAACAAAGTAGTTCAACGTCTGCAGGGCAATTATACAAGATAACAAAATTCGATGAAGACTGAGCACCCTTCTTGGACATAGTATCAGCAACCATTACGAGCATGAGGAATCTTGTTTAGAAGGGCCTGCAATCAAGAATGAGAGTACCATGGGGTGGTGAAGATTAGAGGCAATAGAGATTAATTGGAAAGCAATATGACAGTGACTTTCAACAATAATATGATTGAAGTGCAAATTGGAAGCCAGCTGAAATCCATCTCCAATGGCCCATAATTCAGCAGTTAATACAGTAACCCGATATTTCGAGGATATCCAAACACCCATTGGCCTTGCGAATATTAAAAGGTTTACTTAAATTCTTGTCACAATTTGTTAAGAATATTAAATATTTTAGAGCTTCGAATTTTATTTGAATATTATAAATAAATATAAAAATCAAGTTATTTAATTTTATTGTTAGGTTTTACTCTATACATTTTATTATAATTTAATATTTAAATTTAAAACATATTTAAAAAATCTTTGGTGATTTAGTGACCATCAATATTTTCATAAGAATATTCTCATGCATGTAAAAAATGTGAAATTTGAGTTTTACCTTCTTATTAAAAAAATTAAAATATATCTAAAAATAAAAAATCAAATTTAAAATTTATATTTTACTTTTTTTTTCATTTTTTTATATTTATATCTCTTAAAAATCTTATCCCACTCACACCACTAGTATTAATAAGTTACAATTTTTTTCTTACTTTTATCCTACAATTTTTGGTTTAATCACTCTTCTTTCACTAGTATTAATATGTTACAATTTTTATCTTACTTTTATGTTTAATCACTAGTGTTAATACCTTACAATTTTTATATTATTTTTATGTTTGATAACTATTGGTTAAAGCTGAAACTAAATTCATAATAACCAAAATTATGAATAACTAAACCAAATTTTTTTTTTTATCTATTTTAGTTGTGGTTTTGGTTTAATTTTTAAAACCAAAAAAAACTCTGTTAGTCAAATGTCGGTTTTAATTTCAACTAAACCAATATTTGCCCACCCCTACTGCTTTTTTGGCTTAAAACTTTTTGTCCATTACTCGAACTTAAAATATATATATATATATCTATACATACACATATATCTTTTTATCGCATTGAGAGATATAGTTCGGCCTTTGCTATTGGTTTGTTGC